GTCTGCAGTCTGAAACCAATCTCTACATATGTTCTACCTGTATGTCTGCAGTCTTCTCTCCTATTGCCTCCTAAAGCACACATTTTACACAGCACCAGAAGGGAGGGGGTTGGAATCTGACATCACACATTGCACAGCATACAGCTCAGAGCTGAGTGTAATCTGATACCTGAGTGGAGGAAAAGGACACCACCCCTACACAGTCTCATAGGGAAATGTACACAGCTAAGAGCTGAGGCTGTCAATCACCTTCTGTGTGTTGGGGGTGGGGGGAAAGCCCATCTTACAGGATTTAATGGTTTTGGCATACCTTGTCAAACGTGGCTCATGCACAGGGCTGGTACTACCACTAGACAAACTAGGCAGCCGATTTGGGTGCACTGCCACCTAGGAGTGCAGGTATGGCCGCTGGTTTCCCTACTCTATGCCATTGCCAGATCTAGGGGTGTGCTGGGAGGGGCTTTGGGTAAGGTTTATGCTGGGAAGCGTAATTTGGAGGGGGTTTAGCTAGAGGAGGGATTTAGGGAAATTTGTCCTAGGTGGGGGGATTAAAGGAAGAGGAGTGATTCTGGGAGGGGTGATTGGGGGAATTGTGCTAGGAGAGGGATTGGGGGGGGGGGTTGTGCTAGGAGAGAGGATTTGGGGATTTATGTTAGTAAAGAGGACAGAGGGAGTTTGTGTTAGGAGGAAGGATTGGGGGGAATTTGTGCTAGTAGGAGGGGATGGGAGAAAATTTGTGCTAGGAGAGGCTGATGGGGCAGATTTGTGTTAGGAGGGGGATTGGGGGGGGGGGTTGTGCTAGGAGGTGGGATTTGTACTAGGATAGGGTAGGGGGTTTGGGTGAGGAGGAAGGATTTGGGCTGGGAAGAGTAATTTGGAGGGGGTTGTGCTAGGAGGTGGGATTTGGGGGATTTATTCTATGGGGGGAATTTGGGGGAGAGGAGTGCTAGGTGGAAAATTTGAGGGGAAAGAGGATGTGTGCTAGGAGGGGTGAAGTAGAACTATAGGCGATGTTTTATTTTTTTTTTTTTGGGGGGGGGGAGTGAGAGTGGCTGGTGTTGCCTAGGGCACAAATAATCTTGGGGGAGAGGAGTGCTAGGGTGGAAAATTTGAGGGGAAAGAGGATGTGTGCTAGGAGGGGTGAAGTAGAACTATAGGCGATGTTTTTATTTTTTTTTGGGGGGGGGGAGTGAGAGTGGCTGGTGTTGCCTAGAGCACAAATAATCTAGCACCGGCCCTGATCATGCAGACAACAGAAATTTGTTTGAGGCTAGTATACACTATAGAGGGATATGCTTTGTTCATATTTCAATTTAGAGGTTTTCAACACTAAGCAGCCCAGCATTCAGTCATGACAGGGAGATTTTGAAGGTTGTTAATCCCTTCCAGCATGTCATGCATGCTGTAGTTAACTCATTTTCCCCAGTGACTGCAGTACTTTAAAGGACACCCTTTACTCTAATGGCAGCCCGTGTTGCCCCTCAGAAAAGCGGTCTGTGGTGAATCACTTTTCATAGAGCATTCGACAGGTGGCTGGGAGATGTTATATTACCTCCTCACTGCACAATTTAACCTCCAAGGTCCGCTCCACTATGACCATGTACATTGTACGCAGTTGTGGTGAGGCCCTTTGCGAATGGATAACTGGTGATACTACATGCTGAATGCGACAGAGGGTATAATTGTGTGTACAAATTAAATCCACAGTTATACTCTGAATAGATCAAGGTTTCTTAAAATTGGGTACACAGCTCAGTAATTAATCTTTATTTTTATTGACTGTAAATATTAAAGCTGTCATACTTTTATGACTAATGTACTTTAACCCTTTTGCTGCCACTACCAGGGGCGGACTGACAACTCATGGGGCCCCTGGGCAATAGGGGATCATGGGGCCCCTGCGTCCTTGCCCAAACTCAAAAAAGGCTATGAAAAAGGTACCAGGGGCATCTCATGGGGCCCCCTACTGACCACGGGCCCTCGGGCAGTGCCCGAGTTTCCAAATGGTCAGTCCGCCCCTGGCCACTACCCTAACTATTACAGCGGGGCAGCCAAAGGATAGCAATAACCTCATGGCCCCAAATGCCACAGTTTCTTTTTGACTGCCATTAAGGGAAGCAGTCGTAGGGTGGTAAAACAGCAGCTCAACTGACTATTTTTGCACCTCCACTAGTATTTTGAATGAGCCCTAAATGCAGCAGAGAACCGCAGGCTTGATGTGTTGTGGCAGGAGGAGTAACAGACAGGAGTAACAGAATTACATATGCTTTGGCATACAAAACACTTCATATGTCTGTACTTTTAACTGTGCATTCAATAATTTTTTTCCTGTAGCGTTCTACATTAGGCAAATAAATCGGTCTTGAAACCCAAGAGAGATTAGCCTAGGCAGTTTATTTTCCACTGCTTGTCGTAAATATTTAGGTTCATGTCTAATTTCAGCTTAAAAACTTCATTTTTTTGCATATCCAACTCAATAAAAGCAAACCATTCAGGTGAATTTATTGTATTGACCTTTTGTTGCTCGCTGTTACTTTGATCAAAAGACCCAGATCCCAGTATGAAGCAAGCTTTTCACTGTCTGCTTCAGCTAGCTTTATTTCTTTTGTGCTATTTTTTTTACTTTAAATCCTTAGATTATGTAGTAGATAGCTATCAATGCTTTGTGCGGCCAAATTAAATCCACAGTTATACTCTGAATAGATCAAGGTTTCTTAAAAATGGGTACACAGCTCAGTTCTTAATCTTTATTTTTATTGACTGAAAATATTAAAGATGTCATACTTTTATGACTAATGTACTTTAACCCTTTTGCTGCCACTACCATAGCCAGGGGCGGACTGACCATTCGAGCACTCGGGCACTGCCCAAGGGCCCGGGGCCAGTAGGGGGCCCCATGAGATGCCCCTGGTACCTTTCATTGGCTTTTTCATAGGCTTTTTTGGGTGTGGGCGAGGACACAGGGGCCCCATGACCCCCTATTGCCCGGGGGCCCCATGAGTTGTCAGCCCACCCCTGACCATAGCTATTACACGCGGGGCAGTCAAAGGATAGCAATAACCTCATGGCCCCAAACGCCACAGTTACTTTTTGAATGCTATATTAATGTTAAAAATAATAATAAACAGAAAGCGCCAATCATCAAAATAATTCTATAAAAAGCTGCAAACTTCTAACCCAAAAATATTGGTGAAAAAATAAAAAACAACAAAATCAGAATGCGCTTATATCATATATCGTGCAAAACTGTGCAAAGATTATAAATATATATTGTAAAAAAGAGACCCCAGTGAATCTCTACATAAATTGTTCATATACAAAAGTCCAAAATCCCAAATTATTTCTTCTTAAATCAAATAAATCCACCGTGCTCAATCCACCACCAGATGAATGGAATAAACTCACCAGAGCTAGATGCTGATCAAATTATAAATCAGCACAAGCGTATTTGCTCTGGGAGCGATGAGAAAATCCAAGGAAGCACCCTCCTGTAATTAGAAATCCAGGCACCAGGAGCAATACTCCGCAACCACTCTACGATATGGCCAGGACTTTTTATACAGCGGTCATCCTCCCAAACACATGATAGTATCACTCCAAAATAAAGAAAAGGCATGATGGTGCAGTACGTAAAAACTATGTATGTTTATTTAAAATTCATATTACTCACAAAGCAAGTGTCCACCTGACACTGGTATAACAAGCGATAGAGATGCACAAAAGCATGTAACGAACGAACGAACTCCGTTCACTGCGGACACCTCGCCGACAGTTGCCGGGAACGTCCTGACGTCATCCAATAGGCTCCGCCCTACGCGTTTCGTCACACTGACGTCCTCACGGAGCGGCATGAGGACGTCAGTGTGACGAAACGCGTAGGGCGGAGCCTATTGGATGACGTCAGGACGTTCCCGGCAACTGTCGGCGAGGTGTCCGCAGTGAACGGAGTTCGTTCGTTCGTTACATGCTTTTGTGCATCTCTATCGCTTGTTATACCAGTGTCAGGTGGACACTTGCTTTGTGAGTAATATGAATTTTAAATAAACATACATAGTTTTTACGTACTGCACCATCATGCCTTTTCTTTATTTTGGAGTGATACTATCATGTGTTTGGAGGATGACCGCTGTATAAAAAGTCCTGGCCATATCGTAGAGTGGTTGCGGAGTATTGCTCCTGGTGCCTGGATTTCTAATTACAGGAGGGTGCTTCCTTGGATTTTCTCATCGCTCCCAGAGCAAATACGCTTGTGCTGATTTATAATTTGATCAGCATCTAGCTCTGGTGAGTTTATTCCATTCATCTGGTGGTGGATTGAGCACGGTGGATTTATTTGATTTAAGAAGAAATAATTTGGGATTTTGGACTTTTGTATATGAACAATTTATGTAGAGATTCACTGGGGTCTCTTTTTTACAATATATATTTATAATCTTTGCACAGTTTTGCACGATATATGATATAAGCGCATTCTGATTTTGTTGTTTTCTATATTAATGTTAAACTCCATGTTGATATAGTAGTTAATTTAATGCAGCTAGATATTCATAAACAAAACCATTTTTAAATGCTACTAGCATTGTAAGTACCCGAATTTTAGTTAACCACTTGCCCTCCGGAAGATTTACCCCCCTTCCTGACAAGGCCATTTTTTGTGATACGGCACTGCATTACTGTAGCCTCCTGGCGGTATTCCCGAGTGTAGCTCGGGGTAAAGTTTCAGTATCAGAAGCAGTAACTCCGAGCTACACTCGGGCTTACCATGTGACGCTGCTCTGGGATCTGTTCTTCTCTTACCTTGTCCTGCGCTCCCACGATGTCCCTCCTGCAGTGTCCCCTGTAATGTCCTCCAGCGGATGCTGGCATCTGTCTTCTGGGTTCCGTCCCCTGCGACGTGGGGACCAGGGGCAATAGGGGATCATGGGGCCCTTTTGCCCAAACTCAAAAAAGCCTATGAAAAAGGTACCAGAGGCATCTCCCTACCGACTCCGGGCCCTCAGGCAGTGCCAGAGTTTCCAAATGGTCAGTCCGCCCCTGGTCGGGACGTACGGGACGGAACGGCGGGAAATTTGAAAATGACAAAAAGTGACATTCACTAAATACACTAAAATCACATAGAAAAACATTCCTGTATCAAACCATTTTACATACGTTTTGTCCCGAGTGCTTTGTCCTGTGCCCTGCCTGCATTTTTACTGTTCTTTCTGCCAGGAAACTGAGAAATGTCCACGGCGTGCAAAAAGCGTCCCTTTAGGTCAAAATCGGTTTTAGACCAGCTAGAGAACAGCGATAGTAAATCAGAACCACTTGCAGAATTGAGTGATAATTAGAGATGAGCGAATCGAAGTATCCGAAGTGGAATTCGAATCCGAAAAATAGCCTAATTCGGGACGCGCGAATCGAAATTTTTCAGAAAATGGCGGCTGACATGTGCGGCGACGGAGCGGGGATGTCTGGGAAGGCGCGCAGACAAGGCGCGCTGACCCATAATGCATTCCTCAACTACATGTGATCGCATCAGCCTATCAGCAGCCAGCCAGCCAGCACTGTGTAATGGTCGAGCTATAAATAGCGGCCATTTTGGAATTCTTCATTTGCCTGCAGTTATTGAACAGAGGGCAGACCGCTCTGTACTAGGGACAGGACAGAGTTACGGGGCCACAGAAACGATAATTGGGGACAGAGAAAAGTTACTTAGGGACAGAGAACCATTACACTTCAGGGACACAGATTTGTTAATTGAGGGCCACAGAATCGTTATTTAAGGGACAAAGAAACGCTAGTTAGGGCCACAGAATTCATAATCAGGGACAGACAGAATTGTTACTCAGTGCCAGAGAATTGTTACTTAGGGCCACAGAAAACGTTATTAGGGCCACAGAATTGTTACTCACAGGGACAGACAGAATTGTTACTGAGTGCCAGAGAATTGTTACTCAGGGACAGACAGAATTGTTACTGAGTGCCAGAGAATTGTTACTTAGGGGCCACAGAAACTTTAATTAGGGCCACAGAATTTTTACTCAGGGACAGACAGAATTGTTACTGAGTGCCAGAGAATTGTTACTCAGGGACAGACAGAATTGTTACTGAGTGCCAGAGAATTGTTACTCAGGGCCACAGAAACTTTACTTAGGGCCACAGAATTTTTTACTCAGGGACAGACAGAATTGTTACTGAGTGCCAGAGAATTGTTACTCAGGGACAGACAGAATTGTTACTGAGTGCCAGAGAATTGTTACTTAGGGCACAGAAACTTTACTTAGGGCCACAGGAATTGTTACTCGCACAGACACAGAATTGTTACTCGCACAGACACAGAATTGATACTGAGGGCCACAGAACTGTTACTTAGGGCCACAGAATTGTTTACTCGCACAGACACAGAATTGTTACTCGCACAGACACAGAAACTGTTTACTGAGGGCCACAGAACTGTTACTTAGGGACAAAGAAACGCTAGTTAGGGCCACAGAATTCATACTCAGGGACAGACAGAATTGTTACGGTAGTGCCAGAGAAATTGTTACTCAGGGACAGACAGAATTGTTAACGGAGTGCCAGAGAATTGTTACTCAGGGACAGACAGAATTGTACTGAGTGCCAGAGAATTGTTTACTTAGGGGGCCACAGAAACTTTAATTAGGGCCACAGAATTTTTACTCAGGGACAGACAGAATTGTTACTGAGTGCCAGAGAAGTTGTTACTCAGGACAGACAGAATTGTTACTGAGTGCCAGGAGAATTGTTACTCAGGGAGACAGACAGAATTGTTACTGAGTGCGCAGAGAATATGTTACTTAGGGCCACATGGAAACTTTAATTAGGGCCACAGAATTTTTTACTCAGGACAGACAGAATTGTTACTGAGTGCCAGAGAATTGATTACTCAGGGACAGACAGAATTGTTACTGAGTGCCAGAGATTGTTACTTCAGGGCCACAGAAACTTTTCCTTAGGGCCACAGATATTTTTACTCAGGGGACAGACAGAATTGTTACTGAGTGGCCAGAGAATTGTTACTCAGGGACAGACGAGAATTGTTACTGAGTGCCAGAGAATTGTTACTTAGGGCCACAGAAACTTTACTTAGGGCCACAGAAATGTTTAATTTACTCGCACAGACACAGAATTGTTACTCGCACAGACACACAATTGCGTTACTGAGGGCCACAGAACTGTTACTTAGGGCCACAGAATTGTTTACTACACCGCACAGACACAGAATTGTTACTCGCACAGGACACAGAACTGTTACTTAGGGACAAAGAAATGCTAGTTAGGGCCACAGAATTCATACTCAGGGACATGACAGAATTGTTACGGAGTTGCCAGAGAATTGTTACTCAGGGACAGACAGAATTGTTACGGGAGTGCCAGAGAATTGATTTACTCAGAGGACAGACAGAAATTGTTACTGAGTGCCCAGAGAATTGTTACTTAGGGCCACAGAAAACTTTAATAGGGCCACAGAATTTTTACTCAGGGACAGACAGAATTGTTTACTGAGTGCCAGAGAATTGTTTACTCAGGGAAAGACAGAATTACTTTACCGATGTGCCAGAGAAATTTGTTACTCAGGGACAGACAGAATTGTTACTGGGGGGGGGGGAGTGCCAGAGAATGTTACTTTAGGGCCACAGAAACTTTAATTAGGGCCACAGAATTTTTACTCAGGGACAGACAGAATTGTTACTGAGTGCCAGAGAATTGTTACTCAGGAGGACAGACAGAATTGTTACCTGAGTGCCACAGAGATTGTTACTCCAGGACAGACAGAATTTGTTACTGAGTCAGCCAGAGAATTGAATTACTTAGGGCCACAGAAACTTTAATTAGGGCCACAGAATTTTTACTCAGGGACAGGACAGAAATTGTTACTGAGTGCCAGAGAATTGTTACTCAGGGACAGACAGAATTGTTACTGAGTGCCAGAGAATTGTTACTTAGGGCCCACAGAAACTTTAATTAGGGCCACAGAATTTTTACTCAGGGACAGACACAGAATTGTTACTGAGTGCCAGAGAATTGTTGACTCAAGGGGGACAGACAGAATTGTTACCGAGTGCCAGAGAAATTGTTACTCAGGGACAGACAGAATTGGTTTACTGAGTGCCAGAGAATTGTTACTTAGGGCCACAGAAAAACTTTAATTAGGCCACAGAATTTTTTACTCAGGGACAGACAGAATTGTTACTGAGTGCCAGAGAATTGTTACTCAGGGACAGGACAGAATTGTTAACTGGTGCCAGATAATTGTTACTCAGGGCCCCAGAAACTTTACTTAGGGCCACAGAATTTTTACTCAGGACAGACAGAATTGTTACTGAGTGCCAGAGAATTGGTACTCAGGAACAGACAGACAGAATTGTTTACTGACAATGGCCAGAGAATTGTTACTCAGGGACAGACAGAATTGTTACTGAGGGCCACGATTAATGTTACTCAGGGCCCCAGAAACTTTACTTAGGGCACACAGAATTTTTACTCAGGGACAGACAGAATTGTTACTGAGTGCCAGAGAATTGTTACTCAGGGACAGACACAGAATTGTTACTGAGTGCCAGAGAATTGTTACTTAGGGCCACAGAAACTTTAATTAGGGCCACAGAATTTTTACTCAGGGACAGACAGAATTGTTACTGAGGTGCCAGAGAATTGTTACTCAGGGACAGACAGAATTGTTACGGAGTGCCAGAGAATTGTTACTCAGGGACAGACAGAATTGTTACTGAGTGCCAGAGAATTGTTACTTAGGGCCACAGAAACTTTAATTAGGGCGCACAGAATTTTACTCAGGGACAGAACAGAATTGTTACTGAGGGCCAGAGAATTTTGTTACTCAGGGGACAGACGAATTGTTGACCGAGTGCCCCAGAGAATTGTTACTCAGGGACAGACAGAATTGTTTACTGAGTGCCAGAGAATTGTTACTTAGGGCCACAGAAACTCATTACTAATTAGAGGCCACGTAGAATTTTTACTCAGGGACAGACAGAATTGTTACTGAGTGCCAGAGAATTGTTTACTCAGGGTTCTCAGACAGAATTGTTACGGAGTAGTGCCAGAGAATTGTTTACGCAGGGCCACAGAAACTTTACTTAGGGCCACAGAATTTTTACTCAGGGACAGACAGAATAGTTACTGAGTGCCAGAGAATTGTTACTCAGGGACAGACAGAATTGTTACGGAGTGCCAGAGAATTGTTACTCAGGACAGACAGAATTAGGGTTACTGAGTATCAGGGGCCAGAGAATTGTTACTTAGGGCCAACAGAAACTTTAATTAGGGCCACAGAAGTTTTTTTACTCAGGGACAGACAGGAATTGTTACTGAGTGCCAGAGAAATTGGATTTACTGCAGGACAGACAGAATTGTTACCGGAGTGCCAGCAGAATTGTTACTCAGGGGACAGACAGAATTGTTACTGAGTGCCAGAGAATTGTTACTTTAGGGCCACAGAAACATTTAATTAGGGCCACAGAATTTTTAACTCAGGGACAGACAGAATTGTTACTGAGTGCCAGAATTTGTTACACAGGGACAGACAGGAATTGTTACGGAGTGCCACAGAATTGTTACTCAGGGCCACAGAAACTTTACTTAGGGCCAGATGTTTTTTTTTTTTTTTTTTTACTCAGGGACAGACAGAATTGTTACTGAGTGCCAGAGAATTGTTACTCAGGGACAGAAGACAGAATTGTTACGGAGTGCCAGATAATTGTTACTCAGGGCCCCAGAAACTTTACTTAAGGCCACAGAATTTTTACTCAGGGACAGACAGAATTGTTTACTGAGTGCCAGAGAATTGTATTAACTCAGCGGGCCACAGACAGAATTGTTACTGAGTGCCAGAGAATTGTTATCTTAGGCCACATCGGGAAAAAAACTTTACTTAGGGCCACAGAATTGTTACTCGCACAGACACAGAATTGTTACTCGCACAGACACAGAATTGTTACTGAGGCCACAGAACTGTTACTTGGGGCCACAGAAACGTTAATCAGGGACACAAATGTTACTGAAGGTGCCACAGAACTGTTACTTAGGGCACAGAATTGTTACTCGCAAAAGACACAGAAATGTGTTACTCAGGACACAGAATTGTTTACTACAGGGACACATAATCGTTTAATTAAAGAGTATGTCAGACAACATG